TACTGTCAAGCTGCACACTAAGTCTGAGATTGACTTCGTGTAACGTTCTTTATTTTTCCCAATATATTTCGAATAAAATTAGTCAATTCTGGGTCCCAAGAGGGTGGTGCATCTTGAAAAAAAAAAGCATTACAGAAAGTGTTGTAAATTACGAATGGGGTTTACAAAGCCAAGGGAATCTATGCCTTGGGGGAGTAGTGTTTTTGCGGAGTATCGGTACGCGGGAGTATCAGTGCGGGGGAGTATCGGTGCGGGGATGTAAAGAAGTGGGGGAGTATCGGTGCGGGGGAGTATCGGTGCGGGGGAGTATACTGTAGGTAGGTACGTAGCCGAACAACCTACCCCAAACCCTGACAAAGGGAACTTCATGGTCAGGGTGACCTCACCACGGAGGCATATCCCCGAGTGACAAGCGGTCTTTTTTTCAGGGTCGTTCCTGATCCGGTTAATATCAAGGCAGGTCATGTCTTTGGGTAGCACCGAGGTTCCCAGAACCTTACTGAAGGATGCGTCGTCAGATGATACCTTGGTGGAGGTACAGTCGAAGCACTCCATACCTGGTGACGACAAAATGACGTTAGTCTCCCATGAAAATTGTTCTGCCTAAGTAAACAATGCCTTTACGTACTCAGCTAAATATGTAAATGAGGACAAAGGATACGATTTAATTTACCTTGTACTTTTCCTTTAAACCGGCGTTGGAATAGGGGCCTACCCGTTTTTAAAAGCTTTTATCATAAATCTAACAATTCACATTACATATAAATAATAGTATCATTCACATTTTGTTCCGTTACGCCCCACCTTTTAGGGCATATGATAGCAAAGTACGATGTTTTTGATGCAAACAGTCATGGTCACATTGAAGATTGACAATGATATATCGTAGAATAACATTTGAACCAAATGACTGTTGGTATTTGTGTAGCCCAAGTGTATCGTTATGGGGCAGTTAAATATTCAAACTCTAACAAATGATACCCACCATTTGATTCGTGTGGCATCATTATTAGAATCAGAACAGCAGATCTTATGATTTGTAGTAACAAAGTGAGTGCACTGCCAGTGTCTCTGGAGTTGGCTTGTCTGTCGTTCTCCATCTCTCCTTTCTGTGACAAATATATGTTTGGATAACGACAAATGAAGTTTCCTATATATCTTGCCTTGTCATTTTATTTGCAGACTTATCGGGAGTTAAAACAAACAAGTATTTATATATGTAAATCAGAGTGAAATGACGAAGTTCCAGATTGTACTTGCAGACGAATTTCGGTCAAAACGAGACTCTCAGTACCCACAGTTGGCTGTCGCATTGCTGTGTTATATAGCTCCATTCACAACAAAGGCATATAGGCCTATATAATAGGTACAGGGTGTGGGTGGTTGGTCCGGTTGGGTCGATTGTGGTTAAGGTTGTTTTTTTATAAATCACAGGAACACAGGAAGCAAGGGAAGCAAGCACAGGAAGCAAGGGGTAGGGGCAAAACCTTAACCTACCCACCCCTAACTCAATTGTTGGGAGGGGTCTGGTGACTACGCCCGACTACTCTAGAAATATCTCGTGTGGTGGTTTTTCAACTAGTAGCCTATTGCCTAGAGATGGAATTATTTTCTTGGAGAGATCTGGAACCTGTTGCTCTGCATTGCGCTTTTGATGAAGAATGTGATTCAGCTGCTGAATAACATGAGCTGAGAAATTATATAGGCCCTAGGCCTAATTTCTGTAAACGCACGATAACCCTAATAATGAAACAAGGCAGCAAAGCTGTCAAATGTACAGACAAAAACCAGAAAATAAAAACGCAGGAAATAGGATACTGTCAATTCTGATGAACTAATGTATTCATGCTTACTGTAACTGCATAGCCAACATCAAATTCTTATTCTGCATAACATTGGATTAGGATGAAAGTAAAATGTGTATCAAGCATTAGACTAAGTTCCCATACCTAGATCAATCTAACATGATCAATCCAACTCCAAGGGGTTTCTCACTAAATTGATTTCAGTTTGAGAGTCTTATGATTCTTGCATGCCAGTTTATGCCAGTTTCAGTAGGCGTGACAGACAACTTAGCCACTTACATTGATTGCAATTTAGCGAAAATTCCCATGGAGATAGATCGATCCACAGTTAGCGTGATAGGGTCTGGAAATAGTCCCTAAGGTGTCAGGCTGATAAGAGTTAAACTTTGGAAATGCCAGAATGAGGTACAGTGAAAATTACACACAAAAAAAATTGCTTAAACTCATTAAAAAATATCTATCTATCTATCTATCTATCTATCTATCTATATCTGTATATCTATATCTATATCTATATATATATATATATATATATATNAAATTTCGAGATTTATTTCCACCCAGTACTTTTATTCCATCAGTACTTTTATTCGATACTTCAGAGTAACATTTACCTGCACAATAATCATCAATTCCTAATTATATGACACAGTTAAGAGAGATATACCCAGGGGACAATGAAATCTCATCGTCTGATTTATGTAATCTCATTTAATGGCCACTTGAAAATTAATTAAGCAAATTAGTTTGTGACCCTGAATTAATATACAGCCATATACATTTATTGCACCATAGTTCACTCTATAGAACTGCATTGCTTCCAAAACCGAAAACAATCACACTGGTTTTCCAACACAAGCTGCACTTCAGTCTTATGAAACTTTTCAGTAAATTTGAGTATCGTAAGTAACATGGTTTTCCCTTAATCGCTATCCTGGCAGCAGTGTCCAAAATAAAGGGTTTCTTCAACTTTCATGCAATATAACACAATACTTAACAGCATAAAGACCATTTTATAAAAAAATTAAAGTATCATGGATATTCAGAAAATGTGATATGGGAAGGTCTTCAAGACCATGGAAGTTCAGAGTCACACATTCGAAATGCCAAAATGTAAACAAGAGATAACTGTACTGAAATGATTTTCTTTCCATTTTCAACACTTTTTTTTTACATAAAACAGTAATCAATTTACTGTCATTTTTATATGATCAACTAGGAAAATTGTTGACATAGGAAAAATATAAATAGAACAATTTATAATGTCCAATTTGCTCCATTTGCAGATTCTGAACATAGTGAATGAGTGGATCTGACAAACTGCAATGATGAGTTCCTTTCCATTTTTGATACTTTATTACACAATGCATGATAACAGGTTTACCGTCATTTTTATATAATCAACTAACAATACTGTTAAGAAGCAGAAAATGTCAAAACAACACTTTTACATATCTAATTACTTCCATAATGAGACTGTTAACATGCCTAAGAATTAAATCTGAAGAAAAAAACACTTATATACAAAAAGGCTAATAACTTCATCAAAACTTAACTGATCAAGCTTATTTTGAAACTTGATCTGTATACTAGTCAGACTAAACACTGCTGTGAGTTGCAAGACAAAAGGCTGATTGGTTTTCCTTAAAATGTGTTATCAGTGTTGCATATATGCTGAATAAGAGAAAAAAACAGCATAACAGTTGTAAATATAGTCTAATCAAGCCAATTTTCCAACTTGAAATGCATATTATGAATATTCATCAGTTTCAATCCAAAAAGAAAAACATTTTAACACTGATCCTGTTTTCCGTGTTACAAAAATGCTGAAAATTTTGAAAAAAAAAAAAAACATCATAACTTCCCTAAAATTGGCCGGATCATGCTGAATTTCAAACTTGACCTGCATATTATGAATATTTATCAGTTATGTAAGTTTCAAGCCAAAAAGTGAAATGGTATTTCACTTATCGTGTTATCGGTGCTACATAAATGCTGAAAAAAGTGAAACAAGACAGCACTGTTCTGAAATGGGTTTATTACCATTTTTAAGACTTTTTTAACATAAAACAAAATCAGGCCTACCCAACTACCAGACTCGGCACCTAAGGATCCTGAATTAACCGATATATCGGACCACGCTACCCGTTTTCAAGGTGTGTGTCAGATTGCATTTCGGAGTATCATACCCCAGAACAAATTTTGTAGCACGACTGCGGGCTCATCCACGCTCGGCTGAACAACCTTAAACTGTACTCTTACTTTAGAGTACTCTATTTTATTGTCTCTATGGGGATATATGGGGACTTTACGACATTCGGTTTGAATGTTTTAACCACTTTTGATAGGGCTTTTTTGCATTGTATAAGATTAATGTGGCAGTCTAAGGTTCATCTAGGTGGCTTTCAAATTTATGCACCCGGTTTTAAAATCATATAGCGATTTTACGACAATCGTTTACTATCCAATCAAGGTGACAGCTGAGCATGCCAGGGCTCATCCTGTCGGTGTTCTGGCTGATACTCCGAAATGCGATCTGACACACACCTTGAAAAAGGGTAGCGTGGTCCGATATACCGGTTAATTCAGGATCCTTAGGAGCCGAGTCTGGTAGTTGGGTAGGCCTGAAAATAAACAGTTTACTGCCATTTTTATATGACCAACTTAGAAAATTGATGAGATGGGAAAAATATCAATAAGACAGTGTTATATGTCCAATTTCCTACATTATGAAATTCTCAACATAGTGAAAGATTGAATCTGACAAACTGCAATGATATGAGTTTATTTCCATTTTTAAAACTTTATTACACAATACACGATAACAAGTTTACCATCATTTTTACATAATCAACTAACAATGTTGTAAAGATGCAGGAAATGCCAAACCAACACTTTTAGGTATCTTATTAATTAAATAATGAAACTGTTAACATGCCTAAGAATTGAATCTGAGGAAATGTGAAAAAAAAGGCATTTCTTTAAAATAATGGCCCGATTATGCTGATTTTTGAACTCAACGTGTGTTTTAGCAGGAATGACCACTACTGTGAGTTTAATGACAATTGGGCTATCTGTTTTTCTTATTTTGTGTTTACAGTGTTGCATATATGCTGAAAAGTGAAAAAACAGCATAACTTCTACAATAATGGCCCGATCATGCTGATTTTCGAACTTGACCTGCATTTTATGAATATTCATCAGGTCTGTAAATATACAGCCAAAAAGTAAAACTGCCTTCCACTTGTCGTGTTTACAATGAAAGTGCACAGCCCCGGCGCCGGCGACAGCGACGGCAAAGAAGGCAACGACAGACGCAGGTGATGGCAATATGTACAGACACATCTGTACATATCTACTGTACTGTTTGAGAACAGTAAGTGACATGGTTTTTCTTAAATGGCCATCATGGGAGCAGTGCCCAAAAAGGCTTTTTTCAAATTTTGATTCAATATTACATAATGTTTAACAGCATAATGACCTTCAATTTTTAATAATAAAATATTAGTATCATGGATATTCAGAAAATGTGACTAGCAAAGGTCTTCAGGCCCTTGGAACTTCAAAGTCACAACTTGAAAATGCCAAAATGTAAACAAGACAGCACTGTTCTGAAATGTTTTTTTTTCCATTTTTAACAATTTTTTTAAACATAAAACAAAACTAGAGGATCAGAGAGGCGATACCGCCTCCGAATATTGTACCACCAGCTGGAGCAAGCGCATTCGTATAGACCCCCACATACACAAAGTAAGGGACACAGCCACCAGTCTTGTGCTTGACAAGCTGTAAAAATGCAATCAACAAGAATTTTCAAAATATGCAAAAAATATATATTATTTAAAATGGTACAATCAAAGTTAATTCATCGTAAGGTAGGTCAAAGGTCAATTTCAAGGTCACAGTAAATTGCCAGTATATGACTTCCTTTTCAAGTAACTATGGACCTATCTCTGCCAGTTTTGGAGATAAAAGGGAATCAAAATTTGCAAAGTTCAGTTCATGGTGAAAAGTAGGTCAAAGGTCAATTTCAAGGTCACAGTAAGATTGCCAGTATATGACTTCCTATTCAACTTCAATAGTAACTATGGACCTATCTCTGCCAGTTTTGGAGATA